TAAATAAATTTTTTGCATGCTAAAATATTATTCATTACTAAGCGATTAGTTCAAAAAAAAAAACTTTGATTGTTGTCCTCAAATAATTGCAATGAAAATAATTACAGAATTACATGAATGGAATGGGAATCCATTGAACTATGTAATTTTTTTTTTTTTTTTATATTTGACATTGAGAGATGATCGAAATTCAAAAATACATTTTATTATAGAGGCACATTTTATTGTCGTCAAAAAAAAAAAAGATATAGAGAGAGGAAGGAAAAAGCAAAAAAAGATGGCACCAAATGAATTTTTCGTTCCCTTTAATTCTTTTTTTTTTTTGCTTATTTCATTTTAAAATTTTATTTGTTGTCACAGACAATTTAGCATATAAAGTTAGCAAATCTATCAACAATTTTTTTTTCTTTTTTTTTTTTGCCTATTTCAAGAACAAATTTTATCATCATTTATTAAAATCTTTGAAATATATTAGTAAAAATATTTTCGGGCAACTTTTCCTTTTTCTATTTATATTTGAAATTTTTATTTGATTTTTGATTGTATGGCAAGAAAAAAATAATAATAATCATTCTAATTATGAATATGTCATAAAAAATTGTTTGCTATGATATTGCTTTTTCTTTTTTTTTTTTTGATGAAAAAATTTTGAATGCTTATTTTTAACTCTCCTCTACAATAATTACAACTAATTTTGACTAAGTAAAAAATTGAAAAAAAGAAACAAACGAAATCAAATATGAAAATAATTTTAATTAATGAAAAATATATTTATATGAAGGATGAATGAAAATGAAAATGAAAATGTAATTGTAAAAATTGTTTTTGTAAAATCTTAAATTAATCATAAATAAGCATTAATTCGAAAAAGCATTAATATGTAATCATTAAATCGATAAGCATTAATTCAATAAGCAAATTAATTCGAAAAAGCATTTTGTTGACATAATTTAAAAGCAAATTAAATGAAGAAAGAAAAATAAAATAGACGAAGGCGGTTTATGAAAGCAATTTGTCAAACTATCATTACCCCTTTAGGACTCATTTATTATTTTAATTGATTTTATGTTCCATAAAAAATTTGCTCATCGAATAAATTCTCCTGTAATTTTGTTTGCTTTATTTATTTTTCCTTTAAATATTTTTCAATTTCATTCAATAATTTTTAATTTTTTATTAAATGATTACAATGATATCATAGATAAAACTTATCACAGATTATTAATTAATTAATGCAATTATTCCATTATTATTTCGTCCATTCGCTTATCTTTCTTTCCGCCCCTTTTTGTTTTGCCTGTTTTTCACTGCTCTATTTTAATTTAGTCCTTTTTTTTCCATCTTTTAAATCAAAAAAAAATAATAATAATAATATCATTTAAATTAGTTTTTATTCAAATTCCTTCCCTATTCGAATTATTTCTGATAAATTTTCGAATTTAAAAAATATATATATATATATATATTAAAATGAAAATGGGAATAAATCGTCATCATCGAAGGTTAGCAATGATCTAATCCATTCTAATAGATTTGATAAATGTATCAAATAATAATAATAATAATCCAAAAATTAGGTTAGTTTTTTTTTTTTCAAATAAATTTGAAATTAATTATTTTAAAAATCTAAGCATTAAAGGGAAATTTTGTTCAAAAATGGTTTAAAATGGGTTAAAATTTTGATAAATTAAAACTATTTTGATTTTAATTTTTGTTATTTGAATAATTAATAAGAAATTTAATTATTTATTTTGTTGCAGATATTGCCGATCAGTGAGTTTTTTACTCGCTGTTACAGTGGCGATGTTTTTTGCTTGCACAATGGTTTTGACAATACTTCTAACAATAAAATATAGTGAACAACCTGTAATTTTTAAATTTCAATTCAATTTCCAGTTCTAAATTTCAATTCTATATTAGCCAGTATTGTTTAAAAAATTACTGCTTAAGATATGTAATTATTGTGAAAAATATGTTATGCATAAATTAGCATTTATAAATCGTCATTTGATTTAGCAAAAAATGATTAATAGGTATTACGATAATAGCTAAGATACGGTATTAAGTCGAATCAAGATGCAGTAAGCAGCAAACAGAGATACAGTAATTTAAGTAGTTATGCATAAATTAGCATTTAATTTATTTGGAATGAAATGATAATTAGACAAATTGTAGGGATTAGCTTAATAATTAATGGAATAGTAATTAAATAATAACATTACTTGAAATATTTGTAAATAATTTTTTTTTTTATTTTTTAAATTAAGGTAATAACAAAACGAATAATTCAATGCAATGATTCAACAGAGGCATCAACAATTGAAAAACATCCATTAAAATGGCCAGGGCCAAGTGGAAGTTTATATGCGCGTTATAAACGAGCTGCAATTGCAACTGATAATGGGATATGTAGTGGAATTGGAAGGTTAAAACAAATGATAAATATTTAATTTGGCTAAATAATGAGAATTATGAGTAGTTAAATTTAAAGTTAAACTTATAAATGAATAAAATAAGTATTTAAGGAAAAAAAGAAAATTCAGAAGCTAAACTAAAGTTAAATTAGGCTATCGTACGTCTTTTTGGCTATTTTAATTACGAAAAGTTCTTTTTTTTATATTTTATAATTTTAATCATACAAATTGATAATTTTTAAAATTTATTGATAATTAAAATATTTTAAATTATTCATAATAAATTTTAAAATCTATTTTATTATGAAAAATGATGGGAAAAGCGATTTTTTTTTCTTTTTGTAATGAAATAATTTTTGAAGCTAATATTTTAATTTAAATAATGAAATACGCGAAAATATGTAATTCAGGATGAATATGATAAACTGAAATGCTAATAGACAACAATGGTATATTACTGCTAGCAACTATTTGCAATTAAAAATTAATTTGATAATTTTAAATGATTAAAATTATTTTAATTTTATTTATTCATAGTATTGACAACTGCAAATTGCAACAAATTTTGTTTAATTTAGAAATTTCGTTGACTTTATAATGTTTATTTTATAAACAATTTTAAAAATACAATAATCATTTTTATAATCTGATTATGCTTTCTATTAATTTTGATATGAATATTAAAAAATTTTTCATTTTATTAATGTTACGTAAAGAATAATTTTTGAAATTTTTTTATTGGAACAAATGAAATTAGCCAAATTTAGCTTCTTGATAAATTTAAATTAAAAAGTTCTTACTTAAAATAAAATGATATATTACACGATCATTTAATGATTATGCAATGTTTAACATTTCAATTAACAAGCAGTTATGAGAATTGTGATGGGCTATACTATCTATTATTAATTTTCTATTAAATTTTTAATTCTAATTTCAAATATAAAATTTCTATTGTCAACTTCAAATAAATTTTACCTTAATGTTAATGTTTGAATATTTTTATGATAAATTCAGGTATGACATGGTTTTTTCATTTTTTACTCCTTTTAAAATTATAAAATAATAATTCAAGAGATATACTTATGCTTGGTGGTAATGCCATAGATGCAACCGTAGCAGCATTGGTATGTATTGGTGTTGTAAATCCACAAAGTTCCGGTTTAGGTGGTGGATTTCTTATGACCATATACAATAGGTTAATTTTTAAAAATTGATTAGAAATTTTATTTCCTCATTTTCACATTTTGTAAATTATTTCATCATTTGTCGTCTGTTTGTCAAAGTGACTAGTTTATTTGTTCAATATCTAATATCCGTTATTTATTAATAGTCTATTTCTTCTTTTTTTTCTTTTTTTTTAGCTTATTCGATATTTTTATTATAGATAAACTTCTTGTTTAGTTTTTTCTTTTAGAATGTTTGTTTGCTTATTTGCTTAGTAATTATTTCTTATTCACTTCAATTTATCTATCATTTATTGTTTGCTCATTTATACGTTTAATATTAATATCAATATTATTATTATTATTATTATTATTATTATTATTATTATTATTATTATTATTATTATTATTATTATTATTATT